CTAGATTTTCACTAGTCACTTTTCTGAATAACAGTCTCTAGAGGGTCTGAAAAGTCTGTAAATATAGTGAGGAAGTCGCTAAATCAGCACCGCTGTGTTCCACAACCCGCCACCTCTCATGTCAGCGAGCCGCATGTTGGGTCGATTACGTCACACATTGGAGCGGTCAAATTATGGTACATTATGGGTTTTTTGGGATTATTGATCGTACAGAAGGCAAAAAATATGGTACGAATACGATAATTATCATACACCTGGCAACACTGCATCCTTAGATTTTGTACAGTGCCCTGAGATGACATTTGTTGTTTCGGCCTCCAGCATTTGCTGACATCATCTGCCAGCCCGGACCTTGAATGGGCCAGTCAGGTACTAAATTCTCGGGCCATTTTTTTGCCCCAGCCTGCCCCTGGTGACTCATGTTGTCTGTTGAAGAACATTCATGGGTTGACTGGGTTATTTTAGTGCTTTAGAATTAGCTTTTGCTAAAATTTTCAGTGCATTAGTGCTTTAGAATTAGGGAACCTAAATATTTGAATTAGTGTTTTAGAGCTAGTGGAACTCATTTTAGATTAGTGCTGCCCACCACTGTCAGCTAATAGTAGTTAGTGAGTGATTTTCGATTCACCCGGATGCAGCAGGTCTTCTGCAGGTGTCAGCTGGCCTGGCCCTCGCTCCACAGCTTCAGRATCACTGCTCACCACTTGGTGGCGCTCTCTGACCAACCAAGAACGAGAAGAGCAGCGCGCGAGGTTTGTTCTGTCTGTAGAAATGTGAGGTTTATAAACAAGTTCGAGCTGAACGAGGCGACCACCTCGTGCAAAACGTTTGACTTCATTTGATACCTGTTTTAATTAAAAACAAGAACAAATAAAAAGAATCTTAAGTTTTGCGGTTTTGGCTGGATCACAAAGTTAATTTGACTCCATATAATTTCAACTTTTTTTTTTTTTTTTTACCACAGCCTCACCCCCACCCCCAACCAGAAAACCATCTCTTAGTGTCTGCAGGGTTATTTGTTCAGGGATGTGTATGCAGGCTACTCCTTTTTCTTTTTTCACTTCACCTCTGAGAATTACAGTTTTTGACAGCTTACGCAACATGTCAGCTAAACCGGGGAGACATTTCAGTGTGTGAGTGTGCACACGTGTGTTTCAGGACATACGGTGTAAGTGTTTCTTTCTAAAAGGCTGAAGGTGTTGGCAGCGGGGTCACAGGGGTCACGACCTACCTGTCGCATCACATGAGGTGGTCCGGCTTGTGTTTACGCACGCTCCTGTGTTCTGCCACACACGTGCTGAATCACTTGTGTGCAGAAACATGAGCGTGAGATATGACTAACAGGCTATCTGTGGGGGTCAAACATGTTAAAGGGACATGGTTGAGGTGTTATGCTCTTACATACTGGTTGTACTTGACATGCCCAATGATTAAAGTTTTTGTTTGTTTGTCTGTAATGTTAGCAAAATGTCTCAAGAACCAAAGAAACCCTCCAAAAATGTAAAAACTGGATGTTCATCTACAACTACATTTGGAGTTGTTCAACCTGAGCAAACACGAAAACTGCAGCGAATCAGTAAATTTAGCAGACAATTGGCTACGTTCACACTGCAGGCAAATCCGACCCAAATCCGATTTTTTTGACCCATCTGACTCAAATCCAATTTTTTTTATGACAGTCTGAACGAGACAAATCCGATTTTTTTATGACAGTCTGAACGAGACAAATCCGATTTTTTCAAATCCGACCCAGGCCGTTTCAGTATGTGGTTTTAAATCGGATA